AGGTCTCAATTGGGCAGTTGAGTAAGAAAAAGGTTGTACAAAAGCCACGATCAGGGAAGTGCAAGGATTGGGTTGGATCTTCGGGTTTCTTCATGGGTTCATTACAGGAGAAGGCTGTGGAGGAGATTTGGGGGGGGGGGGGGGACCTCTGCTTGAGGGGGAGTAATGATCTTTTAGGTTGTTATGGGAGGCCCGACTCCTCAAGGTTGAAGTTGAGATGTGACTTTAGCTGAAAAAGGGGGGACTTATGTTCTATGGGTGGAGGGTTAGAGCGCACTAGTTTTTTTTTACACCACCTCTGACTGGAACTGACTTTTAGGTATGTAGCTTTAATCATACATTTTGTATTTTCTTTGTAATTTTCGGAGCTCTGAAGATCACTTCCATCTCGTCAGATATCGATGACGACCTTCAGGGCTTTGCGACTGCTATTGATCAAGTCACTGAGGGGAGAGTGGATACTGTGGTTCAAGTTGCTATGGAACAGGGTACCATGGAGCAGGGCACCGAGAGGGTGGGGAAAAATTCTTCCTTTGGCGGGGGTAAGAGTGTGGGCTGCCAAGTTTATCTCGACACGATGATAGAGGAGGAGACACATGTGGGATGTCAGGTGTTAGTTGATTTTTTGGTGCACCTTCTACTTGAAATGGAGGAGCGCTTACTTCATTTCATGGCACGTCCTCAGGGAGATAATGATGATAGAGTTGCTGAGGTCATGGAGAGGGATGACCGTGTGGAGAAAAAAGTTGTTGCACTTCATGAAGAGCTTGTTACTTTTTGAGGGGAGATGCTTGCTGATCACAGAGAGATGGAGTGACTGTGTTTAGTGTTGTCGGTCGTCAGAGAGGGTTTAACAGCCCAACTGAGAGATGGTCATAATAACCTCTTTAAGGAAAGTGTCAAATTTATGTTTGAACGGCTGCAACATCGAGGATTGTCTCGGATGAAGTCGTGGACGACCGTTTAGTTAAATTTTTCTTTCTTAGCTGTATTCGAGGGTTTTGTGTGATGTCCCCCTCCTTTTTGTAAATAAATAAAGAAGACATAAAAATAAAATTTTATATTTTGGCAATCCCGTCACATCAGTCTTTTCGACGACATTTTATTTTCCAATACATATGTATGTATACATATATTTGTGTGGGGTTTGAGTATTGTGAACTTCTTCATTCCCTTGTGACTCATCACCTCTCTTCATCCTCCTTCTTCCCTTCCTCCTCGCGTGCGTTGTTACGGATTGTATGGCATGGAAGTTTTCTCAGAAATTGTTTGGATCTATTCTAACTTAAGAGGTCTCAGTTCTTTCCACAGCGGATGTGGGAGAGATTCAGAGCCTCTATGTTTTCGACCCTACTATCCACTTTGATCGGCAGCTAGCCATGATCGAGTAACGGGTCATTTTTCCCCTAAAGTGATTTTTTACAAGGACCAGTTCAAATGTTTCTTTGATTGTCATTATATAAGGAGCTACAGTCGATTTTAGGATGGTACATGCTCAGGCTCCTCCTAACTCCGTGACTGTCATTATGACATTTGTCCTCTTCTGCTGAAGGATGAAGATCCCTTGGTCGATCGAATTGCTCAATCATTTCTTCTTTTTTTAAATTTATTCTGGACAGTTACGTTTGATTTGTTGTCAGTTCCAAGATCCATTTGATAGGTCTGGAGAACAAAATAAAAAATTGGAAAGAAAAATTCTTGGTGAGTTCTGTGCCATGCCCGCGATCTCTGTGATATTTGCAATACTTCTTACTATCTCAAAAAAATGTGTCAGCTCTAATCAAGGTTGCCTTTCTAAAGAGGTCCTCATTTTGAATGACTTCCACTATTTCTACCATGGACACCCTAAGAAAAGTTTTGCAAGGGACTCTGTGGTCATAATGGGGTTGCTTGTGATAATAGGACAATCAGTGGTGCTAGGTCCTTGGTTATCACCTCTGGTTCTCAGGACAATGGGTGGAGTGGTTGTTGGGGTGGTTTTCATAGCAAGGGCTGATGATCGGTCACTCATTTTGTCTTGGCTACCTCCAGTTGTCCTGCAGAGCCCTCTTTTAGTGTCTCTGTTTGGCAGGTTTAGGGTCATTTTTCGTAGGTGGTTATGTACTTATTTATCATCTCTAACAACTTTGTCAAGCTCTGTGGCCTCACAAGGTTAAGGTCGAAGCCAATCTCTCTGGCCTTGCTCTTTGTATCAGTGTAGCCTAGGCCATGTCAGGTTTCAGGTCCTTCATATCCAACATCTCACTCTAAAAACATGCGATAAACGATCAGAAGCTTTCATCGGCTCCTTGCTTTAGTTTCCAAAAGGATTGGGCGCTCTTCTTGGGTCTCAGAGTGCTAGCGAATTGGGATAAAAAGAGCTTCTTAAATTCCACAAAACAAGTTATCGCTTCAGCGGGCAACCCGCCGAACCATGTTAGCGCAGATGACATCAGTGTTGTGAAGAATAGCTTGCACTTAAGGGCATCAGATATTTTCAACAGACATATGGAGGATTCAAATGACGTGAGATGGTCGTTGGGGTCCGGCCGGCCTTTACGGCTCTAAGGCAGGTATCTTGAACTTCTCTGAGGGTTCTGGTCCTAAGACTTATAGGGAGAAGGCGTTCTCTGGTTGCCGCCGCATTTTATCGTTGGGCTTCCCCTGTAGGTGGATCACTCTCCGCCCATTATTTGTTGGTGGCTTCCCTTGAGGGGGGTTAGGTGCTCCTTGTTGGGCCGGTTCTCCTCCTGAAATCGAGCTTACTCCCAAGACATCCACGGCTCTGGGCACATCTATAAATTGTCCCAACATTTGGTTGGTGATTTGAGTTCTCAAATCTTGCAGACCTTGTTGAATGAATTCTTCCATGAACTCCCTAGTGTATGCTGCTTCAACCATATTCCTCTCACTGGATTCTCCCTATTGTTGTTGTTGGCTCCTCTCCTTGCTGACGATATGTTTCCAAGCTCACCGCACCTTAAAGGATGTTGAAGCCAAGAGTGTTCGAGAAATGCATTCAAGGTAAAGAACGTTCTACAGGAAATGATGAGAAAGAGGGAGAGAACACAGTAAAGAATAGTAAAAGAGATTATAATTTTTATTCATGACATGGACCCCCTATTTATAGGAATACGTAACAATTTTACAAAATTACATATCAATCCCCTCATCATTGACTTTTCAGAGGGACCTTTTGGTAATTAAAGAGAGAAATATAAGCAGAGGACTGATTCGACCGATATAGTTCCTCGGTCATCTGCTAAGCCTCGACTTCATCGACCTTTGGTTTGAAGGGGCGGTTCTTGCCGACCAGTCCGAGGCCTGATCACCGCTCTGTGAGAATTCCTCTTGTATGTTCTTCTGATCGCTCGAACTAGACGCCTTTTTTGCCAATTTTCATTTGAAACGGTCATTAACCGCAACGTTCGATCAGTCATATCTTCTTTTCTAGCACCGTTCGTCTGTCTTGAGATTCGTGCTCACATATTTTTCGTAGACAATTTTAAAATTGGCTTCAACTCAAATTTAATGGGTGAAAAATGATTAATTTTAAATCTACTTTCAATTAAATCATGACAATTCTTCTAATAACTATTTCTACAAATAGATTCTAATTTCGATTATTCTTATTTATACATATTATATTATAATGTATTATGTTAAAATAATGAGAAAAGTCAATGATATGTGTAAGGTAGGGGTGTAAACGAACCGAACACGAACGAACAAAGCTTGTGTTCGTGTTTGGTTCGTTTTCGTGTTCGTTTCTTAACGAACGAGCCGAACACGAACCGAACATGAGCTGTTCGCGAACGACGAGCCAGTTTGACATCCTTAATATTAATATATAAAAATAATATTATATATTAATTATATAACTTATATTATACAAATATACAATATTTATATTAATATATTACTACTATAGTATATTAATATATTTTTATTATTATTTTATTATATATTATAATTTATAAAATTTAATGTTTTAAAATATAATAAATTTTTTATATATAATTATTTTATATTATTTTATATTTTAAACAATAACGATTCGAACACGAACGAACGCATCACTGTTCGTGTTTGGTTTGTTTAACTAACCGAACGAAAAAAAATTGTTCGTGTTTGTCTCGTTTACTTATCGAACGAATCGAACACGAACTCATTGACGAACCGAACACGAACTGTTCGCGAACAACGAGCTTTTTTGACAGCCCTAGTGTAAGGCCTGTGAAGAAGTTGGCAGAAAGTCATCTTTTCAACTAGAAGACTACGATTCTAAGTACATTTTAATCACAATTTTTATACTCACAATTAAATTCAAATATACATTAATAATTCAAGCATGTATATACACATTATTTTCTTTACTTTATTTTATAAGAAATTATAAGGTATAAATAGATATAAATCATAAAAATTCATATATACACTGAATACAAAACATGCAAAAATATCAATAGCCATGTATACAGAGACAAAAGTCAAATTGAAATTGAACTGAATCAATCATAACATTAACTGATTTTATTTCAATTTCAACTTGATTAAGATAAGCGCAATTATTGATCCAGTTAGAAGCTCTAGCCATGATCTCCAGACTATTTTATCCCCTCACATAAAACTACGAGAAAAAAACAAATGCTCTTGTAGCAAGGCCACTCATTTATTTTCTTGGGAAAATTACATAAGACCGCCCGAAACATTGATATTTATAAATTAATCATCCATGTAATTTTTATGAACTATCGAACAAATATATTTACCCGTGCCACCATCAAACTATCGAGAATCTGATAAAAATGAGAAACATGAGTTCGAGTTTTACCATGAATTTTGATATCTGAGGGAGAATTTGAAAAATGAACGAAAGAGGATGATTGAGTTGTAAATAGGAAGTTTTGGGAGGTATGCATGCATTTGTACCCTTAATTATTTAGTCCCAACATTCAAAATTTTGACTTGTGAGATGCTTTCGTTATGCTTCCCCTCTCAATCATATCTAAACTCTTAAATCTTCTGTTTTTCTGTCCATTATCTGGCAAAGAAAACTCCCCTTCCTCTTTCCATCAACTTAAATAAACCCTTCTCTCAATCATCTTCTTTGGATCTATTGTTTCTCCTTATCACAGCATGGGGAGGCAGCCATGCTGTGATAAGGAGGTGGTGAAGCGCGGCTCGTGGTCAATTGAAGAAGATCAAAAACTCGTCAACTTCATCCTCAACAATGGCATCCAATGCTGGCGCCACGTGCCGAAGCTTGCAGGTCTTCAAATCATCATCATCAACATCAACATCATCACAAATACTCGCTCTCTAATTCTTATAAATCTTTTTACATAATTTCTCATCATATTCTGTTTGATTTATCATTCTAGTCTAAAAATTATGATTTCATTAATGAATATATAGCATTTAGCTTAAATTTAAATTTATTATTATATAATTTAATGAGATATAAGTTTCTAATTTTGAAGGTTTGATGAGATGTGGCAAGAGCTGCAGGCTGAGATGGATAAATTACCTTCGCCCAGATCTCAAGAGAGGAGCTCTATCTGAAGCAGAAGAGGAGCAGATCATTCAGCTCCATTCTAATATTGGGAACAGGTCTTAATCCTGACTAAATTGTTTATTAGAGAATAATTAGTAATATTAATATGATATTAATTACTCTCATTTGGCTTGTTTGTGCCCTCATGAATTTTGATCAACCATAACATCAAGATATAATTAGCATTATACAAAAAAAAAAATGGATGCTAATTTTTTTTCCTTAGGAAGAAAACTCACTACATAGATTTAGGGGGCAGTTTGGCATTACTTTTGTTTTATATTTTGAGTAGTTTTTATTTTTTATGTTATTTTATTTATGTTTTGATTTGAAACGAAACATGTCTGACATATTTGATAAAGATATGACAAATCAACTATTTTTTTAGTATTCTTGAAAACAGCTGCCACAATCGAACATGTTTTTAATTTAAATCGAAACAAAAATAAAATATTAAAAACAAAAATAAATGTTCATGTATTTAATTTCGTAGGTGGTCGAAGATTGCTTCGTATTTTCCGGGGCGAACAGACAATGAAATCAAGAACATATGGAACACAAAAATCAAAAAGAAGCTGAGGCTTCAAGGCTTGGATCCAATGAGCACCAAGAACATGGATGAGGATGAGAGGAAGAATCACATCATCTCCATGGTTGAAGACAAGGAGGGCATGGAATTTGAGATCAGTAATGGAAGCTCAAAGAGCTCTTCATTTCTTGAACTGGAACAGAACTGGATGCAAGAGATGAAGTTGAAGCAAGCTGATCTATCTATTAGCAGCTGTGCCTCAACATCCATTGATGGAAATCTTAATAATTCTGCTTGGGAAGGAGAGTCAGATCTTCATGGAGGATCCAATCAGCTCTTTTGGCCAGATACAGCTGATTATTTCTCATCATGGGATGCTTATAATTGCATTGATGATTTTTTTCATTATGAAAATTATCCATGAAACTGAATAAATTAATGCTTTCTTTTTTTTTTCTTGATTAAATGAGGATACATTGTTGTTATATTAGTGAAGTTATTGTGGTTTATTTCCATCATCATTTGTAAATTTTATTGATCAATCTTAATTATAATCATTGAGTGCTTTCTTCTGGTTTTAATTGAGCTCAAAATACAATTGAAGTAAAAAAAGAGTTGAATGAGAAGGATTCCACAGTAATTTAACTATATGGCCAATGCTATTTTTATAAAAGGTATGTTGGAAATAATTGTAGAAAGTTTGCCCCTTAGTGCCTATGACTTTAGGAATGCGGACTATTTGCATTCGTTTTAGCGTCAAAAATTTTCTGGCGCAAAGTTTGCCTTGAATTTACATTATGTTGAAAGATCGAAAATACTAATGATTATATAACTCTATATTTAGAATATTTAGAATGTTATAAATTATATGAGGGATCTTGGGAATCTCAATTTATTTCTCTCCTTAAATTAGAGAAATTAGCTGCCTCTTATATTTTTTTATTATTCCTTCCCGACATCAAACAACAGATATCCTCACTAAGCCTCTCCCAAGAATCAACTTTGAAGAATTATGTAATAAGTTAGATATATACAATCTGTACAACCCAACTTGAGGGAGAGTGTTGAAAGATCTTAAAAATACTAATGATTATATTTCATATTTGTTATAACTCTATATTTAGAGGGTTATAAATTATATGAGGGATCTTGAGAATCTCAATTTATTTCTCTCCTTAAATTAGAGAGATTAGCTGTCTCTTATATTTTGTTATTATTCATTTCCTAGTCTACCATGTTATGTTTTTTATTGTTTTCCTTACCAGTAAGTCCTGTAATGGATATTTATACCCTTTTTTTCATCAATAAAATCAAGTCCTCTCTTATCTTTTCACATTGGAATTCTGACGAAGCTCATTAAGGAAAATTTAGTGGCAGTAATATGCCGACACAAATTGTTCGCGTCGAGGTTCGCGTCGAACTTGTTGGCCACTTTAATCCTTAATAGCGTTGACTTATCAAATGGTAATGTTGATACTAATGCTTTTGCGACGGAAAATGCCGACACAGAAGCCCTAAACTGTTCGATCGGTCTCTTAGGTTTGGTACGGGCGATTTCAAGTATTCCTCCTCTCTGATCTTTTATCCAAGCTGGGTAAAGTTCTTTTCTCCATTTAGGGCATTCCCCTCCCGTATTTTACGAAATTTGTCTTAGATATGTAATACATAAAAATTGAGTGGAATTTATGTAAAAACTGAAGGTTAGATGTTAGATATGCAAGGCATATATATGATTTGAGTGGTATGAATGTAAAGATTGAATTTTATGTGTTATATATCCAATACAAAAGACTTGAGTGGAGTGTTCATAAAATTTGAAGGTTGGATTTTAGATATGTAATACATATATAAGATTTGAGTGGTATGTATGTAGAAATTGATGGTTCGGCGTTAGATTTGTAATACAAAAGATCTGAGTGGGTCAATTTAAAAATTGAAGGTTAGGCGTTAGATATGTAATATATAAGAGTTGAGTGGTTTGCATGCAAACAAATTGAAATTTAGGCGTTAGAAAAGTAATCCATAACAATTAACTGGTATGCATGTAAAAATTGGATTTTAGGCGTTTGATTTGCAATATAAAAAAATTGAGTGATGTAAATAAAAATTGAAGGATAGGTGTTAGGTATGAAATACATAAGGGTTGAGTGGTTTGCATGCAAAAGAATATAGTTTCGGTGCTGGATACGTACTACATGAGAACTCAGTATTACATATGTAAAGATTGAAGGTTATAGTCCGATATGTAACAATTAAGAATTGAGTGGTATATATATATGTAAGAATTTGAAATATAGGTGTGTATTTGTGTATATGTATGTGTGTGTGTGTCTATATATATATTTGGGTTTGAGTCGATATATATATTTTGCTCGTCATTATTCTTTGGTTGGCAGCTGCGTTGTCAGTCTTGAGTCCATGGGGTCATGGGTTTGAGCCCGTCTGAGTGCATCTGACTTGTGGTGCGGGAATGAATAGTTAGACACATGTCATTGGTTGTGGGCTTGAATCATAGCTTCAAACCAATGACATGTGTCTAACTATTCACATATATATATATATAGATATATATATATATCAGAACAATCATATTTTTTTATACATGAACACAATAAATAGCACAAACATTTACTCATCACTAACACAACACAATATATTGCATAAACATGTATCGACAATGAAACCAATAGAAATTTAATAGATAGGATCTCTTAAGTGAAGTTATAGATTAGTTGAATATTTTATAGAAATTTATTAGATAGGATCTTATAAGTGAAGTTCATCTTTTAATCATGATAAGAACAAATCAGGATGTTGACTTGATTATATGAGAAGTTGGACACAAAATAAAGAAACTATTTCCTTGAAAAAACATCAACTAGTAATATTGTAGTTTTTCTATTTGTAATATCAGTGACACTCTTTTGATGACTCCAAGCAATATGGTGTGCATAAAACAATGGAATATTTTGGATTCAACCTATTCTAATCCCATATGATTTTAAGCAAAGTATTGATAGATATGTTTACACAAGAAAAAAAGATGTATAAAGCAAAGATTTTGGCACCAATCAATTGATGATAAGTAATAAAACATTTTTTAAATCTTAGTATTATAACATATACATTATGTTGTGATGATAACACACTTAAGCTCCAAAAGAAGCATTGATTTAATTAAAGGTGAATATAGCTAATAGAATCTCTATTGTCTATGGCATTGTTCCATGCTAAAGGCGGTAGCTTCTAGAAGTAAGAATGCTAACAAATTATGATATCGAATACTATGGAACTGATGTATTTATACGTTCCACAATTAACTCGTTAAGAATTTGATAAAAATGAAAAAAAAAATGGTTGGGATCATGAATTTTGATATCTGACTGAGAATTGGAAAAATGGATGAAAGAGATTGCTAGATTTGGAAATAGTAATATTTTGGGTGCTCTGCATGTAATTGCCCCAAATTAATAATATAATCTCATTCTCCATACTTAGGGTATGTTTGAGGCAGTTTATTTGGTGCGGTGGCATTTTGAAAACGTACATGGCTTGTTGGGTAAACTGAGTTTTGACAGCTTATGCGTTTTCAAAACATTGAAAACAGTGTTTTCATATTTAGGTGTGGATGTTTGCGTAAACTGCATTTTGGCAGCTTATGTGTTTTTAAAACGTTAAAAAAGCATTTTGACACCGCGGTGGAAAATTTCTAGCTGCGATCCGACTTTTACAAAAGAAATAAAATTTGTAATAGCTTATCAGCAGATAATTCAATAAGCTGCAGCTGCCCCAAAACAGACCCATAGTCTTATTTTTCACAATTATAATCACGTTTTTTTTATAGAGACAAATTAAAGAAATATTTTTATTCACACCCTCAACTTTATATAAATTGTAACTTTGTTAAGCAACATTTTTAAGGCTTAAGTGAATTATTCGATCTCTTTGTAGCCGTTGACAATAAAAAAAAATTTATAAATAATAATTACTATAATAAAACCATATAGTCAACTTATGTCCCCTCTAAGATTACATATAGAGCAACCAAAAATTTCTATTTACCAATCAACCACTCTCTTTTGTCGGTTTTGCAAGCTCTCACTCAAACATCAAAATTCATGGTAAAATTACAACTCATATTTTTCATTTTTATCAAATTATAAATAGTTTGATTTCTGGCATATGTAAACACATCAGTTCTGTAGTTTAAAAAAATTACCCAGATAATTAATTTATAAATATCAATATTTCGGAGGACTATATGTATTATACCAAATAAAAAAAATAATATTAATGTAAGACATGTCTTTCCAGCATTGAATTATTATTAGTAGTATTGTCATATTTTCTTCGTTAGACAAGTGGAAGCCCACTTCTGTTACTTTTTTGGGATCAAATATAAAATTATTGAATTTAGTATATTTATTGATCAAGCATAGAATTTCTTATTTAACTAATTTTTTTTAGTACAATGTCGTTTGACTTGGTCAAAACTTTATCTTAAGGAAGAAATTTTATACATATTAAAAAAAAAGTTATTTGGATACAAATATTTTATTTGCATAAGTAGATGTAATAGAATTATTAATATTAATTTCATAAACACCCTCGCACCACTTCTCTCTTCTATGATATTACATCAGGAGTCTTGATGCAAAACTGTATCAGGACTCCAATCACAATGCTCTACGTGTATGACCTGACCCTGATATGCTTTAAATTTTATTAGTTTTTGTATTCAGTGGGGTCGGACCGTATATGTGGAGCATTGTGATTAGAATACTGATGAAAAACTGCATCAGGACTCCTGATATAATATTTTTTCTTCTTCTATAGCGAAGATAAAGAAAACAATGTAAAACTAGTCAAAATAAATTTACATACTACACTAACCCCAAAATTTCATATTTACGTTATAACATTTTATGGCTTTAATGTCATAAATCTTTATATGAAAATATGTATTTCATTTTTTAAAAGTAAATAGTAACGTATTTTTTATGTAAAGATTTGAATATTATACTAAGAATTGTTTGGTATTTATGTAGGGTTTTTATCAAGTTGAGTCGTGTTGAGTCGAATCAAATGTCATGGATTGAACTTAGCTCTGTTGAATCATTAGTTGATCATATTCGGTTCAAACTTGACCCGAGCTTTCACATATATGTATATATTTTGCTTCTTAAATTTTAAAACGTTCATATTTGATTTATACTTATTTATTTTAATTGTCCAACTAAGAAATCAATTTATTACTTAATTTTCCTTACAAAATTAAAATTATGATTTGTAGAGCTTGATTACTAAAATTCAAAATGTTCATATTTGATTTGTACTTCACTTGTTTATATTAATTGAGTGCTTTATTTAAATTTTTTAATTGAGCTTTCACATATATGTCTAATGAATGCTTGATTTGTTATT